TTTGCTTACTTGCTCTAGGTCGTTGTATACCGTGCCGCGGGCGGAGAGGGGCGAACGGTGATGTTCAAGGATCAAGCGAAGCACTACGGTCGCGTAAGCTCTTAAATTCACTGGCCCGCAGCATTCCTCATCTTTCATTGGCCAGCAAGGCTTTCTCTGCCACAGGACCGAGCTTCACGACGAGTTGAAGCGCCTTACGCTAAGTACAGAAGGTGCGGGTAAGCCCGTCGAGATTCATCTTGGCACAGAAATCGTCGATTGCGACCCGGAAACTGGAACCTTGACCAGTAAAACTGGTGAGAAATATGCAGCGGACGTCATTATCGCTGCGGACGGTATTCGCGAGCGTGATTGAAGCCGTAGCTTCATGAGAGTCAAACCAAAGTCCACAGTCTACGTTGCGCACCTTCGTCGTCGGACACCCCGTGGTTGCGCCGGCGACAGGGATATGCGCCTTCCGCTGGATGGCGGAGACGTCGAAGCTAGAGAGCCGTCCAGAGCTAGATTGGGTCGTGAAAGACGGCATCTCGGGAGGCCGCGCTGTCAACGAACCGGACTCCATTCGCCATATATTTCTATACCCTTGCGGGAAAGCGCTCATCAATGTAACGATGATGCACCCGGATAAACGGGACCAAGATGAATTCAGTGGGTTCAATCCAAGCATGAATTTAGATCGAATTTAACTGTCCGTCCAGGTTGGTATACCAGAGTAACGCGCGACGAGGTCCTCCAGGAGTACAAGGAATTCGGCCCCCAAATCCAGGCGTTCCTCCAGCTCGCAGTAGATCCCGTCAATTTGTGGCAACTACGCGTGCTTCCTGTTCTCCCGACCTGGACCAAGGGGCGCGTCGCGCTGCTCGGCGACGCAGCGCATGCGACGTTCCCTACTTTGGGGCAAGGCGCGGCAATGGCTGTCGAGGATGCTGCCGCTCTGGGCTGTATGCTGCCTCTCGGGACGAAACGCGAGGAGGTAATGAGCCGGCTGGCGGCGTATCAGGCGGTGCGGAAGGAGCGGGGTGAGTTCGTAGCTAGAGAGTCTTTTGAGCAGGCCACCGTCTCCTCCAAGGGGGGACTTTATTTGCGTTGCGAGTAGCCTCTGCACTTCTTACGGGTCACGAGAGGCTGATTAACGGATGGTTCTCTAGCGGAGGAAATGCAAGATTTACTTATGGGTTACGACGCCATCACAGTAGCTCAAGAGCACTTTAACAAAGTCTTTGGCCACTGACCAGGGTCGAAAACACGACGTTTGCACGACGTACGCATAGAGCATTATTGTACAAAAAATGTGTACAATCAAGTCCCGTTAAACATGCACCAGTCAGCGCTCCAGGATGAGACTCGAACAGGACAACAAAAGAATAAGACTGATCGCGGTGCGCTTCAACTGTCTTGTTGGCCAAGAACCAACTGGGGTAAAATCTGCCTTACAATACATCGCTTGCGAAAATAATACAGTCATCGAAGCCGTGCTTTATCAGAATCTGTACTACTAGTATGTGACCTTGGCGTCGCATCCATCCTGCTTGAGGAGAGCAGAAACTTTACCAGCCAGCTCGGCTTCGTATCCCGAATTGGCGAGTTCCAGCCCTACTGGAAAACTGTTTGCGATGGACTCTATGCCGTCCTGTATTGCCGAAGTCTCCGACCACATGGGGAGCAGCCGATAGCGTATTTCGTGGCCTTCGCGCACCATCAAGACAAGAAGGTGCATCCGGCCACCACTGCGCAAAGCCCGGGCCGCATTTTCCTCCCAAAGAGTCCGAAAACTAGGCGCGACATCGCCCACGGAGGTGAAGAGTCGGACGCTGGCACGGACCGCGCCCGACGTGTAGTCCAGAACGCTGAAAAGAGGACGGCCCGGGTATTTGTTCATCACGGAGATGCGCTGAACATATAAGTTCGCTTTCGCTATTATATAGTCGCGGTGGGCCATGGCCCATAGAAACGATTTGTCGCGCTTGCTAACATGTTCGGGATCCTCTAGAAAGAAAAAGGTACAGTGAGAACCCAATGTAAACGGAGTCATTGAGAGAAATTTACGGAGAAATAGCGATCGCAAACGCGTGCACACTTTTCGGTGTCCGTCAGCCCAGTCGGTCTTCTGGCATTCGGGCGAACAATAGAAGGATGTTTCACAACGCGCGCAGCGTTTCCGTTTCACTCTATCCATCAACTTCCCGCACTATTCAAAAATTCTGAACAACCAACGGGCATGAAATCTGATCGAAACCACTCACGGCCGAATTGTCGCAATTGCTCCCAGACAACCGTTCGCCATTGTCGTAACGCCGCATGACATCAAGACGAGTGTCTGCGAATTCAACAAGCTTCGTCCAGCTTTGGAAAATTTCCGACGCTCGGAAACGAGACGTCTGCGTGAGGTCTTCCACTCGTTCAAGCTCTTCCTCAATCTGCTTCAGAACCGAATAGTAGACTGTGGCTGGAGGGATAACAGCAGTAAGGAGATAATCTACACTGTCTGTCGCAGAGCGCGACAGCACAATAGCATGAAGGAGTCCAGCTTTTAGCGCGTCGACAAGATGCCGAGGGTGAGGGGTCAACACGAGCAGTCGGACGAGAATGATGAAGCAGTCGTCCAACATGTGGTTCGCGCCATCTACGGTCGGAACAGAGACGGAGAGCATGGTAAGAACGAGCGGTGTAATGATGCCCTCCGAGAAAAGAGCTTCGCGCCAGTCTACATCGCGGTGGTTCACCTCTTTCAAAAAGCGGATAACACCTCCGAGCAGGACCAAGGTCTCGCTGGAAGCGAGATAATCGGGTCCGGGGATGACAAAACGCAGGTGAGAAACAAACAGCCGGGCGAGGTCGACGTCGCGTCCACCGGCGCCGATCAAAATTTCTGTGGTATTGGTCGATGAGAGTGGCGCTTCCGCCATAAACCGGCAAACACTAGGGAAATTAACTCCAGAATTGCCTTGGCTGTCCAAAAATATGGCCCAGGCTCGAGTCATGACGATCCGCACACCAGGAGTCGCGTAGATTACATCCCTGGTGGCCGTGTGATCGAGCAGACGCAAGATAATTGAGCTATAAATCGGATACGACTCCGCGTCCGACAGTGGATTCACGTCGACGAGGACCAGCCGATACCGGTCAAGGAACTGTATCCATTTCCAGACCCGTCGCCACACGTCCGGACATGCATCGTTGGATAAACCACTGGCGTCAATGTGGGAAGAGAGGGCTTGCATTGAGAGGATTGCACACGAGATGACTCGGAGAGAGTCGGCAGAGGACGGAGATGACTTCAGGTCATCCAAAGTGGGTATTCCAGATGGATCCAAATTGGCATAGAAGACGGGTGGTAGTAGATCAGGTCGCGAGTAATGTGATGCAAGGACGAGATCGACGACCTTGCGCACAGCATCCAGAGAGCCATTCGCAGCGGATGTGGCGAGTTTCTGGGAGAAAAAAGGTAAGGAATAGTCAAGGATAAATTCGGTGAGGTTCACTTTATCTGCGGGACTCAGTCGCACGATATTTTCAAGGCTTAGAGACGGATGCATGATAGATGATGTCACGACCAGTGACCGTGACTGTAACTGCCGATTGATGCATACCCTACGGCATGGGACGGCAAGACGACGGCAAGTCAACAGCAGCCCCGAAAGGACCCACTTCCAGTCCACAACAACGTTAACTTGTTCGCACAACAGCCTGAAATGCCGACCCTCCCCGATCTTCCGACTGAACTTCTCATGGAAATCGTCAAGTCCTATGATCCCGACTTGCTTTCGCCTGTCGCTGCTCGGATTCACGGGGTGCCTCGCACCGATGCTGAACAGCTCGGCGGCAACGAGGTGCTACGTGTCCTTTCCCAGACCTGTCGCACGCTTCGCGACAGATTTCTTCCCGTATATTGGCGCCGGGCGCACGCATACTTTACTGTACGGAACCGGCCCAAACGGAGGATCAGGACCCGCGCAAAAATGTTGGAGCGCCGCATGAGGGGCATCCAGAACACGCCTTACGTGCTACCATTTATTCAGTACGCATTTACCTCCTTCCCAAATTCCCGTGAATAACTTACTTTCAGCTCCTTGTCAATCACTCTGGAGGAGTGCAATATGGGTAATTGGCAACCACTAGCCCATTTCATTCGGGTTCTGGATCTGCTGCCCAATCTCCGGGAACTCGCCATCTTGCAAATTCGCCCCGAAATGACCTCTATTTTTGAGAACACTTGCAAAGACAAGGTTTATCCCTCCATCGTGGCGCTAACCCTTGTGGACGACCTCTCCCCGCTTCTTCATTGTTTCCCCAATGTACAAGCGTTGACCAAATGTACCCACGGACTTTCCGCGAAGCTCCTCGGCGAGGCGAAGCACCTTTACAACCACATTCATACGTTTAACCATTTCTCACTCTCCACCAATGCGGAGTACTGTAGGCCTGTGGTGCAATGTAAGCCGATCTTTTCGAGATTCGAATCATCCACCGAGTTTCCATGACATCCAGGTCTCCGCCAGACAATCCCAAACCTGCGATGCCTGTCTCTCCGGGATCATATCACACTGGTCTGTCGCCGAGGAACGTTGCAACGACCGTTCATCTCATTTATTTTTCTTAGGATACGCTGGTTCTCCTGGAAGGCATGGACAACCTGTCCGAGCTGCTAGTCTGCCATCGCGTCCCACGAAATGCCTCCAACTACTCCCCTCATCTGGAAGACCTCGTCGCGGCTGCGGAGCGCGTGCTGCGGACCTCTAAGGCCCGGGGCCGGAAGGAGCTTCGCGTCCAGCATCTCGATGAAACGTATGGCGCGGTTTACGACGAGACGGTATTCATTGTCGGCCAACCAAAATAAAACCAACCGGGTTTTAGCTGGATCCGGGAAGGGGCCGGGTTCAGTCTCTTGGAATTGGACTTGTGTGTGTAAAGTTTTACCAGTGTCTATCATCCCGCGTTCTTCGTCTTTGCTGCGCACGCGGTCAAACTCTTTCCCACTAGTTTCCCTACTAGGCAGGCAAGTCTTTGTGGAGTAAGAAACTCGTTTCCTTTCCGTCATATGCGAATTCTGCATCGATATTTGGGACAGTCGGTGGTTCGAGTCCACCCGAAGACATCCAGTCCGCACGATCTTATTTTTATCCTATCCCGTCCTGCGAGGGTGAGGGAACCCGTATTTCCGATTCCCCCGAAAACAGCAAGATGTTTGAATTTTGGTACCCTCAGGAGCAGCCAAATTCTTTTCTCGATCCTTGGCGTTGAAGTTAGGGAGAGGACCATATAACTGTAAGCAAGTGAAGTCTTCGTGGGATATTACGACTGATGCTCAGCGCTCGGTAGTTTGATAAACCGAAGGAGTTATATCGGTGGTTCGAATCCACCGGAAGACTTGGCTTAAAATTCTCTTGTAGCCTTTTTTCTGTGAACACCCGATTCGGGTCATTTTCACGACTGGTATTTCAGGTCAGAGAAGTCTTCGTGGGGTACTTACAAACTGTAGTTCAGGGCGCCACATTGGCACAGTCGGTGGTTCGAATCCATCCGAAGACGTGTACGGTCGAGAAACTGAAAGCCCATTTTTTTCTGCCATTGTATGTATTTAATTTTTTTTTTTGGCCACTCGGTTGATAAGCCAGCCTACAAGGAACTCGAAAGTCTTTATGGAGTACGAACCTCGGTCATCGTTAGTTCCGGATACGCTTGGTAAAACGATCGCGACGGGACAGTGGTTCGAATCCACCTCAAGACATGCGCTCGGAGTCTGTCTTTTTCTCCTAGCAGCAGTTGACTTTTTTCTTCATATACAACCAATAGTGCTCCATACACCTGCAAGCCTTCGTGGAGTACGGAACTCCAGTTCCCATTAGTAACAATGTTGAGAATGAGATTGATCAACGGGAAAGTCAGTGGTTCAAATCCACCTGAAGGCCTTATCGGGTAGCATTGTTCCTTTTTTCCGACCATTGTCGGTGTTTTCAAGTTTTTTGACCACTCACTAGGTAAGCCGGCCTACTCGGAAAGTCTTTGTGGAGTACGCAACTCGTTCCCGTTCATTGTGCTGAAGGTAACTTCAAGATTCTGGGAAAGTCGGTGGTTCGAATCCACCTGAAGGCCTTATCGGGTAGCATTGTTCCTTTTTATTAACCATTAAAAATTGTCTGGTGTTTTCAAGTTTTCTTTGACCACTCACTTGATTACCCGGCTTACCCAGAAAGTCTTTGTGGAGTACGAAACTCGTTCCCATTATTTATCCTGGTATGGATCCCAAGATTCTGGGAGAATCGGTGGTTCGAATCCACCCGAAGGCTTATCACAACCATTTTCTGCTTTTTCAGTTTTTGTCGGCGGTGGCGCTCAGACAGCACTCGAAATGTGTTTATCTTCTTCTGTTGGATCCTCTTTTCTGTGAGGACAACTATAGGGAAGCGGAGAAATGAAGCAGGAAAGGACGAGCCGATGCCGAGGTTGATGGCAAGATCGGCATCTGCCACCGTTACCTTGGACTCGGAGTCTCGGAAGGGATTTTCTTCCTGAATACTCACTCATCGTTACCCCCACTTTTGAACCAGTCTGGAATCTACTTTCTCTAGGTTGACGGCTCCCGATGCCCTCGGAAACGAAATTCGCGATATCTCTGTCAATGGCAGAAAATTGGACCTGCGTGGTCCGTGGCACTCCAAAGCTTTGAGGGCGCCTCCAATTCAAGATTTGTGGAAATCGAGGTCTTCCGGCATACAAGGCGATGCGTTCGAAGGTGGTACACGATATATGCGACCCGCACGCGTAGTAGGATTTGAAGGACAAAATGGGCGTGATTGGAGAGGCTCTTAAACGCTCTACGCTGCTAGAGGAAGTGGCTGACGCGCTCGCGGCCAGAACACGATCGCCAGCGGAACCAAATGGGATTTTGCATCCGTCAGCCCCTTTCCCGCTCCTTTCTTCTGCTCTACATCTTACACACTATCCTCGCAGGTCGAAAATTTCATTTTAATCCCCACCTTTTACTCAGGGAGCACAACTCTACATTCAATCCATTCACGCCAAGTACGATTCGATTCGATTCACCTTTTCAAGTGCATGCGGAGACGATATACCGATCGACTACGGCTACGCTTTCCTATGCCTCAGCTCGATATCGGCAGTTTGGCGCCGGGCGAGCCAGCGATAGTCACGAACGACAGCCCTTACTACGTTGCGGCCCCGCCGGTGGCACCACAGGATAACGCGCCGCAGCAAGTACACGCGCTCACAAGTACCGTTGTGCTCGTGACAGGGACTAGTGTCTTGACTGGCGAGAGCGCGAGAACTTACAGTTTGTCGGCGGAGACCTTGGCATCCTCAACGGCTCTTCAATCCGTGTCCATGATATCGTCCTGGTCCGCTATGACTGCCAGCTCCTCGCCGGTGACCTCCTCATCGACAACTTCTTCCTCGCTCGCGTCCTCGACAATTGCAACCTCCTCGCTGCACCCCTCATCCATCCCGTCGCGCGTGGCGCTAGTCACGAGCTCCACCTCCCAAACCCCGTCCTCATCATCCCCACCTTCCTCCACCGTGTCCGCCTCCGCCTCTGCCTCCAGCGACGCGGCCCCATACACCCTCACGCACGGCGCGCCCTTCTACGCCTCCCTCGCCCTCGGCGCGCTCATCCTCATCGCCTGCCTCGCCGTCGTCATCGCCTTCCTTATCCGCGTCCGCGCGCGCCGCCGCTACCGCGCCGCCCTCACCCACATCGCATGGGACCCCGTCATCCCCGGCGGCGGCGGCGGCGAGAAGGACTCCACCGCCGGCACGCGCACACTCGCCGACTTGGACCTGGTGGGGACCGACGCCTCGCTGGCGGGCGACCGCGACGTCGGGGAGCCCAAGCGCGCTGCGGGAGACGCAGAAGCCAGCTTCATCACCCTCAGCCGGCGCGGCTCGCTCGCCCACGCCCACCCCGACGCTGCCGACGAAAACAACTTCAACTCGGACGCCTACTCGTACTCGTACGCGGACCCTCACGCTGGCTCCGGCGTGGGCGGGGCGCCGCTGGACGCGCCGTATGCGTATCCGCATCAGCAGCACCCGAATCCGTTCGTGGAGAGCGCGTACTACTACGCCCCGCACCAGGCGCCCCCGCTCGCGGACAGCGCGGCGTACCCCCTCCCGCCCTTCCCCGCATCCGCTTCAGACTCCCACCACAGCGTTGCACCCCGACTCTCGTTCACCAGCGGCCCCTACCCGACCGCGCGCCCGCTCCCCGCGTACCTCGCCGACCGCGACCCGCATGCCCACCGCGCGAGCGTCAGCACGGATACGACTACAGGCACGTATCGCAGCGCTGCGAGCACGAGCTGGAGCGAAAGGCAGAGGCAGAGTCGGAGTGCGGCGAGCAGCCGGAGCGGGAGTGTGCGGAGCGCGCAGCTGCTGAGTGCGTCGACGCTGCGGGTCGCCAACGGTGGCGGGAGCCGCGCGAGTACGGCGTTGGGGATGCACCACGAAGAGGAGGAGGAGGAGGACGCGCGGGACGGGGGCGGGCCAGAGCAGGCGCACGAGGGAGGAAAGGGGTTTCTGGCACTCGACACATGGCGAACTCGGCGCCCAAGCGAGAGCTTTGCCGCCCGGGCCGGCGGGATGGAGGGTTGGCGCCCGCTCCAGCCGCATGAGCACAAGCAGGAGCAGCAGCAGCAGGGGTGGGGCGAGACGCTCCGCGCGAGCGTGCTCGGGGCGTTCCATGCCGTTACGGGCGCCGCCAGCCCACTCGGCGCTAATGCGAGCACGGCGAACTCCAACGCCGCCAGCGGGGAGGACGCGCTGACGCGCGCGCCGACGACGGGGCGGGCAAGGCGGGAGGCGGGGTGGGCGCGGTTCGCGCAGGCGGAGCGGGCGCGGAGCGTGTCGTCGGCGCGCAGCATCCGCACGGACGCCAGCGTGGGGATGGGGGTGGGGGGGGGTGTACATGGACCTCGCGCGCCCTCCTGCGCTGGGGCTGGGGCTGCACCCGCAGTACTCCGCCAACACCAACCCCTTCGGATCTACTACCGGGAGCGACGCCGACGCCGCCAGCGTGCGCACGGACCACTCGCGCGCGCCGCTCGTAGGCGGGCACGGTGGGATACGGAAGCCGAGGCCTGCGGTGGTGTCGAGGGTGAGCCAAGAGAGCGGGAGTGTGTATTCGGTGGGGTCGGCGGTGCCTCCGCAGGGGTACAATGGTTATGGTTATGGGTATGGGGCGCGGGCGGGGTAGATTAGGATGGACTCTCTACCTGGCTGGCTATTCCTCAGCGTAGTCGCTATATACGGTACATCGTTGGTCGGAATAGGTACGGTGCAATTATCTGGATTTTGGAGCACTGGATGTCGTCCAACAGGAACTAGCAACTTGAAGTGCAGATATTCAGGGCCCATTCAAAGTTTATAGAACAGTCCCGGTAATTTACACCACGAACTGTTTTTCCATCTCCGACGCAGCCCCGGGGCACGTCCTGAGCTCGTTGAGGCCACTGACCCGAACCCCTCGCGACCTCAAAAAAAAAATTGGGGTATATCTAGAGCCAAAGATCGCGCTCATCTTACTGATGCGGTATCATTCATCAAGCCAACTAATCTTAACTCACTTTCTGCCGTTTACCATGAGGTTCAAATGTTAGTGCACCAATGACGTTCTTGGGAGCAGACAATCTTCACCTCGCCGACGATGTACGTCTACGTTGGAAAGCTCAACTGGTTCGAGTATGCCCAGAACGAGTGCATGACGATCGTGTTCCCTGCCGGATTTGCTCTCAAGGATCCGGTATGCGCATACTGGCAATGGACCGTCGACGCTGCGGGCAATGCGAAGAGCAACTGTACTCAGGAGGGTTTCATCACTGGCGTCACCAACACGACCGCTCAGTACTACGTGCGCTTCCCATTCTCCTACTATGCCTTCGAGGGCTCCGTCTCTGCCAACTTCAGCTCTCTGTCTCTGAAGATGTCGAACCCGCAAGGCGAGACGCGAGAGGTCTCGCTGTCGCTGCTGCGCGGTGATGCCGTGCGCGTCCCGTCGACCTCGGTCTTCACGGGAAAGCTCCACTGGTTCAAGTACAGCCAGAACGAGATGGCGACGCTTGTGATCCCCGGCGAGGTGGCGAA